CAGAATTAAAAAAACTGTTTGGGAGAAAACACACAGAGCGTGGCTTAGCCCACCCCCTCTGACTCTGAGGAAGTGACCCCGGAGAGCAGCTGCTCTCGTGCAAATGGCTGGATCGAGATCAGGCTCAAGTAAGTATTAAGAGGCCTGAGGGGGGGAGCTGCACTCTGAACGCTTTTTATCTTAACCTCCCTAGCAGTATTCCCGAGTGTAGCTCGGGGTAAAGTTTCAGTACCAAAAGCGGTAACCCCGAGCTACACTCGGGCTTATCATGCAGCGTTGCATAGGGAGTCCCTGCAGCCCTTACCTTGTCCTTCGCTCCCGCGATGCGTCCCCTGCAGCTTCACCGGCCATCTCCTCCGGCCAATGCTGGCATTTGGCTTCCGTGTTCCGGTCCCTGTGACGTCGGGACGTACGGGCGCCGGAACCGTCGGCAAATGTGAAATTTTTTTAAAAATTTCATTTTTTTTAAAAATGATTATTACATAGTAAAACATTGTTGTTTCAAAACATTTCACATACATTTTGTCCCCACTGCTTTGTCCTGTCCCCTGCCTGCATTTTGACTGTTCTTTTTGCCTGGAAACTTAGAAAAGTCCATGGCGTCCAAAAAGCGTCCCTTTGGGGTTTATTTACTAAAGCTGGAGAGTCCAAAATCAGACTCCCTTCTGCATAGAAACCAATCAGCTTCTAACCTCAGCTTGTTCAATGAAGCTTTGGCAATAAAACCTGGAAGCTGATTGGTTTCTATGCAGAAGGGAGTCTGATTTTGGACTCTCCAGCTTTAGTAAATAAACCCCTTTATGTCAAAAGCAGTTTTAGACCAGCTAGAGAACAGCGATAGTAAATTAGAACTACTTGCAGAATTGAGTGATAATGATTCGTGGGGAAATTCGGCATCAGACACTGAAAACGATTCTGCAACTTTGCTCAGCGATGTGCGAACTTGGCGCTATATTTCATAATTCAGTGTTTTTGGTTTGATTATATTATTGAATTAAATTTATTAGTATTATATTATTATTTTTTATGATTATTTATTAAATTATAATTTATGATTTTGTGTTTCAAGTTTTATCATATCCGAAATGTTTACTAGACTCTTGTTCGAACAGATTTCAGTGAGTTATTCCTAAATTACAGGCCTACAATAACAAAAAAATACATATTTCCATGCAAAAAAATGGTACTGCTTTCAGCACCAAAAATCTGAAATAATCATACCGCTAGGGAGGTTAATGCATAGAATGCATGCATGTAAAAAACCTTCAGCCTTTAGAACCACTTTAACTTAAAGGAACTGCACACCTGCTACTTCTTTAGTGTATATTGTCTTTAAGAAACAGTAGAGCAGTTGCTACCTTGTCACCTTGGAAAGAATTCTCATACTGTGCAGTTGTCCAGGGACCCAACATGAGCTCAGCAAAGGACAAGTTTGGATCTTATATTATAGTTAGCTCATCTAGATAGTTGAAAGTGAATTGCTATATCCCATTTGTTGATGCTCAGATGTCATTACTGTGATTCCACATGAAGTATTTCTCTTATTTTTAGCATGCAGTTACAACTAAATAAAGTTGCTTATTATTTAAAATTGTCTATTTTACTGTGCCATGGTATTTTGAGGGTGTCATCAGATTCAGGTAGGGGATGTACCCACATACAAATCACAGCCAACACTTATGGATCCCTTAGTCTAGAGAGAAAAGATGGTAGAAAACATTTTGGGCTGATAATGTAAACACAAAAGGAAGCAGAAACCATCACAGAAAGGTAGATATGCACCTAGGGAGTGGGGGTCAAGGTTAGTTAGGGTTAGGGAACGGAAGGACAACTTCATCTTTGTTTTGGTCTAAAGCATGGGCATCATATTCTTCCTAAACTGAAATGTTGGCTTTTGAGATGGTACAGTCATGTAAATCATGATGTCTCTCATCTTGTGACTTACTACAAAGTTACAGTATTGGTGTCTGTACACTGAGGGAGAGGAGACTTACAGAATGCCCCCGACTGCTTGCAGCAGACTGATGACATCATTCTAGCTTAGGTAAAATCCTTTTACTAGAGCTTAAAGTAGAACTTCACTCTCACAGTCAACATGGACTATTTCCAATCCTTATGCTGCTAGCATTAGTAAATAGATCGGAAAGTATGTCATATTTACTTGTTTTAACCTTTTTTTGTTTGCATTCCTTCATTTACTTACTGGTTTCCATGCCTAGGCAAATGATGTCATACATCCCAGGAGTCTTCAGGAGGGAAGGGAGGGTTCTCAGCCCAGGCAATGCCTGAGCTAAGTTCAGATGGATTTCAGGAAGTAACTGCTACATGAATCAAACTCCCTTACTCAAGATGGCCACTGCCAGAAATGGCAGGAGATTTTTTTTCAAAATGATTTCTCAGCAAAATAAAGCTTGGAGACATGGATGGATAAAGGACATTGTTTTGAATATTAAAATGAACTATATACTGTAGCATTTTTGGTTTGTGGTACTAAAATGCAATTTAGTTCCACTTTCAGACTGTTTGTTATTGACAAAATTTGTTTTAAACATTTGAACTGTTGCTGTATGCTGTAACATTTTAAGAGTGTATTCATGTTTGTTTGTTTGAAAGTGCACTTACTATTTTACCCAAAACCTCTATTCACTGTGCGCCAGCAGTAGCACCCTCCTAGTCCTGAAACTAAACATAGCAGCTTCAAGATTTTGGTGCTCATAACTATCGATCCATTTACACCATGTACACATCTACCAAAACATGCTAACCCTACCTAGGCACCTTGGCCTAAAAGCAGTTGCAGATTTTGCTATAGGCGTAGTTATATTCATGGGTATATGAAAAAAAATAAATAGACATAAGTTTTAATACTTTTCTGCAGGTGCCTCACCTTTATTAAATCATACATATATATAACAGAAGCAGCAATGATAAGGTGCTCAGCGTGAGGCCTGCAGCACCACTGTGATTATCACAGAGCATGACTAATGATCAAACCTGGATTATTAGAACAATGATCACCTCTGACTATACCAGCGTAAGCAATATGATTTGTTTCACAGTTTAAAGCATGTACTAATTGTACTGGGCATAACGATATCAAACAGTGAAGGAAAAAGGTATAATTAGAGCATCCTTGTAAAGGTTTGTGTACTAAGCAGCTGAATTCATTAATTACAAGGAATGATTTGTCTTCAACTGGAAGTGAATGGAAAGTGTTGAAGAAAAACCGTCAGCACTTGAATCTAAGATAACAGCATGTTTCCAGAATGTTCTCATTATTACTGCATAATTTTACATCTTTACTTGTGTTGTCAGGGTCAAAACTTGGGTCAGTGTAAGCGGGATACTCACACTGTCACCTCGGAGCTTGAAAAGCTTGTTTCTGCTTAGTGGTGTAGGAGAAAAGGGTTGGAAGAGGTCAAAAGAAAAATGAGGCATAGAGGGGGCAAAATGCACTGCAACCATTAACTGTGTCATTCATTTCTCAACCCCCTATATATCTATACTGTATGTTGTGGAAGATCAATGTCAAATTGGCAGAACATACAGCAATCTAACAAGCAAAATGCTTGAGGATTTTCTTACCCAGAATTTTGTTATTTTTGAAGAATAAGGCCCCTTTCACATTTCGCAGTTAGATTTCAGATTTTAGCTGTGGTTAGAGGAGCTTACTTACCGCAGCTAAATGCAGACAATGCATCCCCATGGCTCCATTCACACACGTTTTCATAACACACGCTTTTATGAAAAATAAAATTGACTGCATCCAAGAGCAATGTGCCGCAGCTATCTGTACATAAATGCATATAATCGCAGGACAAAGAAAAAATAAGCAAGCAGTTGCATTACAAAAGGCAAGAATTTACTACCGCAGCTAAATCCAGCCGCATGTAAACGCAGGTAAACGCAGATAAACGCAATGTACAAACGCAAGTGATCTCTGTGCCAGGAGTGTTGGAATTTCAAAATAAAAAAATATGCATCTACAAGCAGCAGAACAACCGCCCGTGTGAAAGAGGCCTTAACAAAAGTTTGCCTCACAAAGAATACATACACGAAACAAAATGTTTAAAACAACACTAAAAAAAAGAAAATTCTATTCAATTATATATTCTGAAAGTGGAATTCCACCTGGGAAAAAAAAATATTATTTTTTCCTCAATTTCTTATTTGTTCCTCAATCCAGCGGTGTCCTCACAACTGTGGTTTCACTGGACATCTTCTCTCCCTGGTGCCGGCATCTTCATTGTGGGCACCTGGCTGTGTTTGCGGCTTCACAGCCGGGTGCCCACTGTGCATGCGCGAGTAGCGCTGCGCTTTGTGAATGGCCCCGTAGTCTTCTGGGACCTGTCACGTGTATCAGAAGACTACAGGGAGGGAGGGAGGGTAAGAGAACAACTTCCGCTTCCAATCACCTAGGCAGTGGAAGCCTGTCAAATTCGGGTACCCGCGCCCCCCCACTCCCCAAAGGTGCCAATCCTTAATGGGGAGTGGGGGACAAAGGCTTAAATTGGAACTTCACCATTTGGCTGGAGCTCCGCTTTAACTCAGAAAAGTACCCCCTGTTGCTCTCAGCCTCCTCCATATCTGAAAATTCCTCCAAATCTCCAAATGAGGATAAAAAGAGAGGTTCAGAAGCTTAAAGAGGGCATTACAAAGAGTCAGACAGAAACAACTTCATGAAAAATAGATTATAAGGCCACTAAGTAAAGGATGCGTATGGATTATTTTTGGACAATAAGGATACTGTTTAGTGTCACTTTAAGACTTTGGCCAACAGCTTCCATGGAGTAACTTACACTGTTCCAGAGTTTTGCCGTGGACACACCAGCAGTCCCAGTATGACTCTCTCTCCAGGGTACATTGTGATTTACGATTTGTGTTACAATTGAAGCTAGATACAAAAAGGTGTTGATTTAAATTCATAGCAGAAATGTCAATCAGTATCAGCCCTTGTCTACATTACATGCATGGTTTACAGGTTAGTTCCTGCACTGTAGGTGGATCTCTGGCAACCCAGCAGCATCAGTAACATCTGGAAAGACACGGTAACCGATGTCCATGCTTCCAACGTGAGCTCTGAGGCCCTACTTACCTACTTACGACAAGCCAACATGGAATACAAGTAAGGAATTTTAAAAACATACTATATGTGTGTAGCAATTTCACCCCCTCTGATCTACCCCACTGGTATGGTAGGTCCCATATGGAAGAAAAATATATTTAAAATATATTTTAAAAATATTCTTCCCAAATATATTGACATATATTTGAAATGCTACAATTTTGGCCATAGTCAATATATTTCAAAATATATTTCAAGAAATATATATATATATTATATACTGCATGTTGAAATGCGTTTTTATTACAAAATATATGTAAAATATTTTTAGAGCTACATTCCAAATATACTGTATGTCTTTAAAAATACAAATCTACATAAAATACAAATCTTTTTGGAATGCATTTACAAATATACGTACAAATATATGTTAAAATGACTTTTTATATGTTAAGAAAATCTTTAGCATATATTTAAAAATATATATTTTTAATAATATTTTCATATATTTTTTAATACAGTCATGGCCGAAATTGTTGGCACCCTTGATATTTCTCCAGGAAATCATGTATTTCTCACGAAACGTATTGCATTAACACATGTTTTGCTATACACATGTTTATTCCCTTTGTGTGTATTGGGACAAAACAAAAAAAAGGGAGGAAAGAAAGCAAATTCGACATAATGTCACACAAACCTCCAAAAATGGGCTGGACAAAAGTATTGGCACCCTTTCACAACTGCGGATAAATAAGAATGTTACAAGCATGTGATGCTCCTGTAAACTCACCTGGGGCAAGTAACAGGTGTGGGCAATATAGAAATCACACCTGAAAGCAGATAAAAAGGAGAGACGTTCACTTAACCTTTGCATTGTGTGTCTGTCTGTGCCACACTAAGCATGGACAACAGAAAGAGGAGACGAGAACTGTCTGAGGACCTGAGAACCAAAATTGTGGCAAAATATCAACAATCTCAAGGTTACAAGTCCATCTCCAGAGAACTAGATTTGCCTTTGTCCACAGTGCGCAACATTATCAAGAAGTTTGCAACCCATGGCACTGTAGCTAATCTCCCTGGTCGTGGACGGATGAGGAAAATTGATGAAAGATTGCAACGCAGAATAGTCCGGATGGTGGATAAGCAGCCCCAAACATGTTCCAAAGACATTCAAGCTGTCCTGCAGGCTCAGGGAGCATCAGTGTCAGCGCGAACTATCCGTCAACATTTAAATGAAATGAAACGCTATGGCAGGAGACCCAGGAGGACCCCACTGCTGACACAGAGACATAAAAAAGCAAGACTACAGTTTGCCAAAATGTACTTGAGTAAGCCAAAAGCCTTCTGGGAAAACGTCTTGTGGACAGATGAGACCAAGATAGAGCTTTTCGGTAAAGCACATCATTCTACTGTTTACCGAAAACGGAATGAGGCCTACAAAGAACAAAACACAGTACCTACGGTAAAATATGGTGGAGGTTCAATGATGTTTTGGGGTTGTTTTGCTGCCTCTGGCACTGGGTGCCTTGACTGTGTGCAAGGCATCATGAAATCTGAGGATTACCAAAGGATTTTGGGTCGCACTGTAGGGCCCAGTGTCAGAAAGCTGGGTTTGCGTCCAAGATCCTGGGTCTTCCAGCAGGACAATGACCCCAAACATACGTCAAAAAGCACTCAGAAATGGATGGCAAAGAAGCGCTGGAGAGTTCTGAAGTGGCCAGCAATGAGCCCAGATCTAAATCCCATTGAACACCTGTGGAGAGATCTTAAAATTGCTGTTGGGAAAAGGTGTCCTTCCAATAAGAGAGACCTGGAGCTGTTTGCAAAGGAAGAGTGGTCCAAAATTCCGGGTGAGAGGTGTCAGAAGCTTATTGATGGTTATAGGAAGCGACTGATTTCAGTTATGTTTTCCAAAGGGTGTGCAACCAAATATTAAGTTAAGGGTGCCAATACTTTTGTCCAGCCCATTTTTGGGGTTTTGTGTGACATTATGTCATATTTGCTTTTCTGCCTCTGTTTTATATTTGTTCCAATACATACAAAGGGAATAAACATGTGTATAGCAAAACATGTGTTAATGCAATACCTTTTTTGTGTGAAATACTTGATTTTCAGGAAAAATATCAAGGGTGCCAACAATTTCGGCCATGACTGTATATAAAAACACATTTCAACAATAAGTGTATATATATATATATATATATATATATATATATATATATATACAGTATATATATATATATATTTATTGAAATATCTTTTGAAATATATTGAATTTGGACAAAATTGTAGCATTTCAAATTTATGTCAATATATTTGGGAAGAATATTTTTAAAATATATTTCAAATAGATTTTTCTTCTATGTGTGGTGGTGTACAACAGTCTACATTGATGCGCATAAAGTCCAGGCCAAATGTTGTGTTTCCATTGTAATTTTGGTTTTCCTCTGTTTTTATTATAACTTTCTAGCCCTTTCTACATACCATATTTTTCGCCGTATAAGACGCACTTTTTCTTCCCCAAAACTGGGGGGGAAATGTCAGTGCGTCTTATAAGGCGAATATGGAGCGGCCGGTCCGGTATTTCCACCGCGGCCGTGTCAGAATACCGGGCCGGCCGCTCAGCTCTGCAGCGGGACCTTACCTGTTCCTCTATCCAGCGGCGTGCTGTCTTCCCGGCTTCTGTAGTGTGGGCACTGGGCATGGCAGCCGGGTGCCCAGTGCGCATGCGCAAGAAGCGGTGCTTTTTGTGAATGGTAAGGCGGTACCTGGGACACATGACAGATCCCAGAAGCCGCCGGACCAATCACAAAGCGCAAGTGCTTCTCGCTCATGCGCACTGGGCACCCGGCTGTCATGCCGAGCGCCATTACAGAAGCCGGGAAGACAGCGCGCGTCTGGATCGAGGAACAGGTAAGATCAAACAAACTCTGCGGAAGTAAGAGCGGGTACCTGTCAAATTCAGGTACCCGCTCCCCACCTCCCCAAAGGTCAGCAGTCATCTGTACTGTGTCCGCAGTTTCTGGTCATCCCTGTGCTGTCCGCAGTCTCTGGTCATCTCCTGTACTGTGTCTGCAGTCCATTAGTTCAGAATTTTTTTTTCCTGTTTTCTGCCTCTAAAACCTAGGTGCGTCTTATGGTCAGGTGCGTCTTATACGGCGAAAAATACGGTATTTAAAACTGACCCGCATGTAGATATGAAAACATTTTTTTGACTTGGCTATGCATTTATTCAAATACTAAATATGTTTTTTTTCATAGCACTAGTGTAGGAAAGTTAAATCTGTGTTGCTATCAGGTACGTCATTTGCTGCACTGTAGCAAACTGGGTGAGGAAGAGTCAACATTCTGAGCTAATCACTGTGCTGTTGCTGTGCACAGAGCTGTCAGTCTAACTAAGTGAACACACTGTTTACATGGTGAGAATGAAGAGCTGTATGCCTGCTGCCATCTTCAAATGAAAATGTTTTGCTATAGCCCACAGTGTGGTAGTACTTTTCTTCTTTTTTATTGATGTATTGGCTTACAACAAGCTAAGTCAGCATCCAGATGCTTGCAGCGGAGTTTGTTATATAACACTCACCTGGATCAATGTTGGTTTTCTACAGGGTGTCCCTAAGGTCTGGACACATAGGAAATAGGACTAACAATATGTTTTTTCCTCAATATGCATTTTGGCTATGCATCCAGCCTTTAGGTACACCCTGTATAAACTTGTTGGAGGAAAGACCAGCTAGCTGTTGCTCTTTTACTATCCAATCACAGGCTGGAGTGGGTCCTGGAGCCAGGGGTGGACTGACCATTTGGAAACTCAGGCACTGCCCGAGGGCCGGGGTCAGTAGGGGGCCCCATGAGATGTCCCTGGTACCTTTTTCATAGGCTTTTTTGAGGTTGGGCAAGGACACAGGGGCCCCATGATCCCCTATTGCCCGGGCGCCCCATGAGTTGTCAGTCCGCCCCTACCTGGAACAGTCTGTAGTGCTAACCTGTACTGTAGTCTGCAGAGAAGTCCGGGTACTGTCAGTGCTGTCTGGCAGGATTCCTAAAGCACACGACTGTATGAACAAAACTACAAATTCTTTGGAGGATAAAACAGTCCACATATGCAGTATGTATTTCACCTGTCCCCACATGGAAGAAAAATATATTTGAAATATATTTTAAAAATATCCTTCCCAAATATATTGACATATATTTGAAATGCTACACTTTTAGCCATATTCAATATATTTCAATAAATATATATATATATATATATATATATACTGCATGTTGAAATGTGTTTTTATTACAAAATATATTAAAATTATTTTTAAAAATACATTTCAAATATACTGTATATCTTTAAAAATACAAATCTACATTTTTGGAATGCATTTACAAATATATGTACAAATATATGTTAAAATTACTTTCTTATATGTTAAAAAAATCTGAAGAACATATTTCAAAAAATATATATTTTTAAAAATAATTTTTATAATATTGTAATATATAAAAAAACGCATTTCAACATGCAATATATATATATTTTGAAATATAGTGAATATGACCAAAATTGTAGCATTTCAAATATATGTCAATAAAGAATATTTTTTAAATATATTTCAAATATATTTTTCTTCCATATGGGTCTATTTAACTGTTTGCCAGTATGGAAGCAACTAGCACTAATGTCATTATGTCAGCGCTGCTCTCTGCATCATTGTACTCTGGGATATGGGTGTCTATGCCATTACAGTTCTTTCTTCATATTTAAAATTTTTCTTTAGTTTAAGAAAAAATAAACAACGAATATGATAAGACATGACACCTAAAATGACAAAACCACAGGCTCTGTATCTTTTGTACATACACATGCTAATAGCACTGAGTGTCTTGAACAATTCTTTTGGTAGAATATTTTTTATTGAGATTTCAAAGTTACATGTAAACCTAATACAAATACAATGCAAAAAGATAAAAATGAAAATAAAAATATTAATAATATTATGTAAGTAATATAAAGAAGCTGGGGAGACAGATTAAAAAAAAATCTAATAATGATAAAGTTTTAAATGTAAGGCTTGAGGCACTAAGAAGTTTATTACATAGTTAGTCTGGCTGAAAAAAGACAAACGTCCATTCAGTTCAACCATTGAAAAAAAAAAAGTTATAATCCTACACCCACAGTTGATCCAGAGGAAGGCAAAAAAACCCAGCAAAGCATGATCCAATTTGCTCCTGCAGGGAAAAGAAAATCCTTCCTGATCCCCCGAGAGGCAATCAGATATTCCCTGGATCAGCTTTACCTATAAATGTTAGTATCCAGTTATGTTCTGTGTAAAAAAAAAAAAAAAAATAAAAAAAAAAAAAAAAAAAAAGTAATAAAAAAAAATTAAAAAAAAAAAAAAATAAAAAAAAAAAAAAAAAAAAAAAAAAAAAAAAAAAAAAAATAAAAATAAAAATAAAAAAAAAAAAAATAAAAAAAAAAAAAAAAAAAAAAAAAAATAAAAACAAAATTAAAAAAAAAAAAAAAAAAAAAAAAAAAAAAAAAAAAAAAAAAAAACAAAAAAAAAAAAAAAAAATAAAAAAAAAAAAAAAAAAAAAAAAAAAAAAAAAAAAAAAAAAAAAAAAAAAAAAAAAAAAAAAAAAAAAAAAAAAAAAAAAAAAAAAAAAAAAAAAAAAAAAAAAAAAATAAAAAAAAAAAAAATAAAAAAAAAAAAAAAAAAAAAAAAAAAAAAAAAATAAAAAAAAAAAAAAAAAAAAAAAAAAAAAAAAAAAAAAAAAAAAAAAAATCTAAGAAACAATCCAGGCCTTTTTTAAAGCAATTCACTGAGCTGGCCAGAACCAACTCTTGAGGGAGTCTATTCCACAGTTTCACAGCTCTTACTGTGAAGAAACCTTTCTGTGTTTGGAGATTAAATTTCATTTCCTCCAGACGTAAAGAGTGCCCCCTTGTCCTCTGTGATGACATCAGGATGAATAACTCTACACCGAGTTCACTATATGAACCACTGATGTATTTATACATGTTGATCATATCCCCCCTTAATCTCCTCTTCTCAAGAGACAGTAAATTCAGTTCCTCTTAGCGCCTTTGTCATAAAAATCTCAGGGAGTTGTAGGTGCAGCCGCCAGTACAAGTGAATGGCTGTATTTACATAAGCATCGGTTGCTTCTGCATCAGCATGTACCCACACATGCACGTATGGCAAATTTCTTTGAGTGCAAAAGTGGCTTATTGGGGGAAATACACTGTAAGTGTGGGAATTTTATGCTTGAGAACACAGGAGCTAATAAATATCTGTGTCTAGGAGGCCTAAAAGGTAAAATGTTTATTTTTCTGACTTCGATTGTTGTAATAGTGACTCATCCTTTCCTGAAACCTCTATGCTTGGCCTAAATGTAGCAGAAACAATTACTGCAGGCGATGTTCAACAGATAGCTGAACTCACCAAATACTTGGCATACACAAATATCTTTATTGCCTACAAAAGGTTTGAGATAAACAATAAAATGCACTAGACATGATACTGAAGTGTTTAACCGCCTCCCACCCACCATATAAGGTAATGACGGCGCAAGACGGTTCTCTCGTTCTGGGAGGACTTCATATGACGTCCTCCCACTCTAACCGCGCATGCGCAGCTCCAGGGGCACGCAGCGTGGCGATTGGTGGTGCGCTGTGTCCCTCGGACACAGCAGATCACCGATCAACGGAAAGAGCCAAATATGTCGGCTCGGTCATGTGATAAGCTGTGTCCAATCACAGCTGATCGCATGTAAATAGGGAAATGCCGATTATCAGCACTTCTCTCCTCACGAGCTGTCAGCTTGTGAGGAGTGGAGAGCCAGTAATTGGCATCCCTCAGAGGGGACATGTACACTGATCATCAGGGCACTGATGATCAGTGTGCCCTGATGATCAGTGTAGCCCCAGCAGTGCCACCTGTCACTGTCCATCAATGCCAGCTGTCAGTGCTCATCCATGCCACCTGCCAGTGCCCATCAGTGCCACATCAATGCCACATATCAGTGCCTACCAGTGCACATCAATGCCACATATCAGTGCCCATCTGATCTGCCTTTCAGTGTCACCTATCAGTGCCAGTCAGTGCCACCTATCAATGCCAGTCTGTGCCACCTATCAGTGGTGCCAATCAGTGCCACCTATCAGTGCCAGCCAGTGCCACCTATCAGTACCAGTCAGTGCCACCTATCAGTGTGCATCAGTGCCGCCTATCAGTGCCCATCAGTGCTGCCTATCAGTGCCGCCTACAGTGCCAGTCAGTGCTGCCTATCAGTGCCACCTATCAGTGCCAATCAGTGCCACCTATCAGTGCAATATATGAGTGCTGCCTTTCAGTGCCCATAAGTGATGCCTGTCAATGACCATCAGTGCCACCTACCAGTGCCTCCTCATCAGTGCCCATCAGTGCAGCCTATCAGTGCCCATCACTGCAGCCTCATTAGCGCACATCAGTGGAGAAAAATCACTTATTTACAAAATTTTATAACAAAAACTAAGAAAAAACTTTTTTTTTTCAAAATTTTCAGTTGTTTTTGGTTTGTTTAGCAAAAAATGAAAATGACATCACATAAAGAAGGAATGAAGTAATTAAAACGATGAACACAAGGCAACAGCATAACCATAATTAATATTACTAAAGAAACAAACAATAAATATATATATATACAGTGAAGGAAATAAGTATTTGATCCCCTGCTGATTTTGAATCTTTGCTCACTCACAAAGAAATGATCAGTCTAAAAATCGAATGGTAGGTGTATTGTAACACTGAGAGACAGAATAGCAACAAAAAATTGAAAAGAAATGCATGTCTAACAAATTATGCACTGATTTGCATGTTCATGAGGGAAATAAGTATTTGATCCCCTATCATTCAGTAGGATTTCTGGCTACCAGGTGTCTTTTGTACAGGTAACAAGCTGAGATTAGAAGCAGTCTCTTAAAGGGAGTGCTGCTAATCTCATTTTGTTACCTGTATAAAAGACACCTGTCCACAGGAGCAATCAAAGAATCAGATTCCAAACTCTCCACCATGGCAAAGACCAAAGAGCTGTCCAAGGATGTTAGGGACAATATTGTAGACCTACACAAGTCTGGACTGAGCTACCAAACTATCGTCAAGCAGATTGGTGAGAAAGTGACACAGTTGGTGCAATCATTCGCAAATGGAAGAAACACAAAACAACGGTCAGTCTCCCTAAGTCTGGTGCACCATGCAAGATCTCACTTCGTGGAGTGTCAATGATCATGAGAACAGTGAAGAATCATCCCAGAACTACACGTGAGGATCTTGTCAATGATCTCCAGGAAATTGGGACCACAGTCACCAAGAAAACAATCGGTAACACACTACTCCGACAAGGATTGAAATCCTGCAGTGCCCACAAGGTCCCTCTGCTCAAGACATGTCCAGGCCCATCTGAAGTTTGCTACTGAACATCTGAATGATGCAAAGGACCAAGGGCGGACTGACCATTTGGAAACTCGGGCACTGCCCGAGGGCCCGGGGTCAGTAAGTGGCCCCATGAGATACCCCTGGTACCTTTTTCATAGGCTTTTTTGAGTTTGGGCAAGGACACAGGGGCCCATGGTCCCCTATTGCTCAGGGGCCCCATGAGTTTGCAGTCCGCCCCTGCAGAGGAGGACTGGTTGAAAGTGTTGTGGTCAGATGAGACCAAAATCGAGTTCTTTGGCATCAATTCAACTCGCCATGTTTGGAGGAGGAATGCTGCCTATGACCCCAAGAACACCATCCCAACTGTCAACATGGTGGTGGAAACATTCTGCTTTGAGGGTGTTTTTCTGCTAAGGGGACAGGACAACTGCACCGCATCAAAGGGACGATGGACTGGGCAATGCACCATCAAATCTTGGGTGAAAACCTTCTTCCCTCAGCCAGAGCATTGAAAATGGGTCATGGATGGGTGTT